TGATCAGGATTACGGAGTCAACCCCCTTTTTGAGAATCCATCCGAGTAGACTGGTTGTGTTTGGTACCGTGCTACCCTACATCGCATGACGGCATGGGCACGTAGTACATATTATTGTCTCTTGTTGTCAGCACATCCTTTTTTGTCAGGGCCTTGGCCTGCATTACAGGGTGATTCTGGATGAGAGAACTTGACCGCTCTAGTTGATTTCATGTTTTCACGACCACAGCCCGTTTGGCAGATCATCGTTTGTGTTTCCCACGCCGGGACTCGTGGAGGTTGTTCTTTGAAGCGACGGCCGCAAGCACCTTAGGTGACAAAAGTAGCTTTCTACTCGGCATATCCGAAAACCTCTTTCCAACACCGCTATCGCCGCTACGACAATCTTAAAACATATTTTGAATATATCGTCCAAGAGCTGACTACACCTGCTATATAGGAGATAAGAATGTGAATTGGAAGAAGTTATGATTGTGGTGATGTTGGTGATAATAATGTTTCTTGGGGTGTATGGCCGGAAAACTAGCTCGTCGCCCACTTTGAGCCGTTTGCGGGAAACGGCTGAACCAGTTCAATGAGTCTTTGGATCCACACAGTTTACTTCTCCAGAGACCACGACCGACATCCGCGGGCCGGCATCGTGAGCCGTGGGACCCGGTCGAGGTGAGGTTGTCGGGGGGGTGGAACCGGTCCTCGAGTCGGCCGGTAGACGATGTCTCGCAAAGGTAACTCCATCCATGATTCCATAGAGAAGAAATGTCAATTGGGCCCCCCAAAACTTACACCCCCCACACATAAGCCGCGACACAGTCAAAGGCAGAGCCTCAACTCTCCATACAGCAATCTTGCCTCGTATCTTTCGGTCAGCAACACGCAGCGACTTGGAGAAGAGTCCAATAAGGGGGAAAAGGCACTCGGTGAACCCTCGGCCGGCTACCACACCGATTCACAAGAAAAACTTCTCCAAGTCTCGCGGGGGGGTCTAGTGGGTTTCTCGGCCTCCCGTTGCCCCTCCTTTGGTGCCATTTGCCCCGCAAAGTGACATTTCGGCGTCGATTGCGTGCTCTGGCCAAGCCCCACCCCCATTGCCTAAATCGGCGCTCTCTTCGCACCTCAAGCTCCAGAGCTCTCACCTCACCTCACATGAGCGATGAAAGAGACAGCCAGCCGTTGCCGCAGCATCGTAAAAAGATGAGAAATGTGACAAGCTCTCATTTGTCTACTGAACCGGACTATTGGACATTTCCCTCGGACCTAATTGGTTCTTCAACAAGCTCCCTGGTAGCTGACCGCGGGATTTGGAGGGGTCCCCTCCTCTTCGGGAAACGATGCCTTTGAGATGTTGCTTCCTTGAGATACCTACCTTGCCTGGTAGACAACTTTTTCTCTTTGGTCCCTGGTGACCCATCCTCACAAGGCCAAGAGGTCAATTGTACATACACACACATACAACAGGTCGACCTATGGTGTGATGTCCCCTCAATGGCATCATCGTAGCTAGCCCTTTTTCTCTGCCTCACTCTCCCATTGCTGGACAACAACCCCTACTTACCCCCCCTCCCCCTCCCCTCTTCCGTGCTCTTCCTTCGCCGTTGCGTTCTCCGTTGCCGGCCCGTCTCTGGTGTGTGCCTCTCTTTCTCTTAAGCGCGTCACCGTCCCCGTTGCTCTTGTGCTCGCACATCTCTAGAGAAAAACTGTCTTCTTCCCCCCTCCTCTCTCCTCTGTGTCTCCAATTCCTCCCTCTTTCTGCATACCTACGCATTCCTTGCTAAAGAAGAAAGTCAAACCTGAACAATGGCTGAAGAATTGAGCAAGAACTTTGAGACTCTCCAGCTCCATGCGGGGTATGTACGCTCTCTTTCGCAACTGTTGCCCACCACCACCAACCACCACACCGAGCAAACATGCCTTCGGGGGAGGAAAACAACCTTTCCGTTACTTTTGGAGCTATTCGAGACCTGGTAACAAGCTAACGTGTGGGAATTGTTGTATCTTTGTAGCCAGGAGCCAGACCCGACCACAAACTCGCGCGCCGTCCCCATCTACGCAACCACGGTTCGTTAAACCTTCCCCGACGACGACGAGCAACCAAGCTCTCTCTCTCCGCGAGCGCGGGTGCAAACACTGTAGGACTCACAGCTGATTTCAACATGTGTAGAGTTTCACCTTCAATGACTCGGCTCACGGCGCGAGGCTCTTTGGCCTCAAGGAGTTTGGTAACATTTACAGCCGTATCATGAACGTACGTCGAAATCACTTCCTCGACAAATCTCATGTTACACCGCGTACCAAGCTTGCAAACTGACCGTATCTCTTCCCACTCCTCCAGCCCACAGTCGATGTCTTTGAGAAGCGCATCGCCGCACTCGAGGGCGGCGTCGCGGCCCTTGCCACCTCCTCTGGCCAAGCCGCCCAGTTCATCGCCATCAACGCCCTCGCGCACGCTGGCGACAACATCGTCTCCACCTCGCTGCTGTACGGCGGCACCTACAACCAGTTCAAGGTCTTCCTCCCCCGCCTCGGCATCCACACCAAGTTCGTCGACGGCGACCGTGTCGAGGATATCGCCGCCGCCATTGACGACAAGACCAAGGCCGTCTACGTCGAGAGCATCGGGAACCCAAAGTACAACGTCCCGGACCTCGAGGCTATTGCCAAGGTTGCGCACGAGAAGGGCGTCCCCGTCATTGTAAGTTCCTCCCTTCCCTCTTCCCTCTGTCTCCGTTGTCGGTAGCACACATAAGCTAACCCCCCACAGGTCGACAACACCTTCGGCGCAGGCGGCTACTTCATCCGTCCCATCGACCACGGCGCCGACATCGTAGTCCACTCGGCGACAAAGTGGATCGGCGGCCACGGCACCACCATCGGCGGCGTTATCGTCGATAGCGGAAAGTTCAAGTGGGACAACGGCCGCTTCCCGCAAATGACGGAGCCTTCGGACGGCTACCACGGCCTCAAGTTCTGGGAGACGTTTGGCCCCATCACCTTCATCATCCGCGCCCGCGTCGAGATCCTCCGCGACCTCGGCGCCTCCCTGAACCCCTTTGCCGCCCAGCAGCTCATCATCGGCATCGAGACCTTGTCGCTGCGCGCTGAGCGCCACGCGCAAAACGCCCTCGCGCTCGCGAAATGGCTCGAGGCTAGTGATTATGTGAGCTGGGTGTCGTACCCCGGTCTCGAGAGCCACCCCTACCACGAGACGGCCAAGAAGTATCTCAAGCGCGGCTTCGGTGGTGTCTTGAGCTTCGGCGTCAAGGGCGGTGGCGATGCTGGCAGCCAGGTTGTTGACGGCTTCAAGCTCATTTCCAACCTGGCCAACGTCGGTGACTCCAAGACCTTGGCTATTCAGTAAGTTTGCACCCCTTCACCATGGAGAGAGAGAGTGTGTGTGTAGCAGAGAAGAGAGAGCACTGGCTCTCTCTTTCTCCCTCTCTCTCTTGACCAATATCTACATCCGCTAATCATTGCCCAAAAGCCCCTGGACCACCACCCACGAGCAGCTCTCCGACGAGGAGAAGACGAGCTCCGGCGTCAGCGAGGACCTCATCCGCATCTCGGTCGGCACGGAGCACATTGACGACATCATCGCCGACTTTGAGCAGTCCTTTAAGAACGCCTCCTCCGCTTCCACCACGGGCAAGCCCGCTCCCGCGGCCGAGACCAAGCAGGACGACGCGCCGCTTGCGCCGTAAGTCGGCGGCAAGACATGCGTGCTCCTGAAATGATTGATTTTTGCTGCCTTGTTTTTTTTGTGGCCAAATGTACGAGAACGATAAATACCCGTAGAAAAAGCAACTTACGATTCTTGTCTTACCTTGTCGCCCTGTCTTGATTAATACTTGGCTGTGTTTGCATGGAGAGAAAAGAGAGAGACCCCGAAGAAACGCCATCATGCTTGAATTACCCCCTTGATCGTTTCTTGTGCAACATGATCAGAAACACTCACAAAAGTTGACCCAGCCAAGCCAGCGTTGCCCAGGCCTGGATTCCGTGCCGTACGTCCGCTGTAGATGGGATAGACAAGGGGCGGGGAGCACACATCACACATCTGCCATGCCAGCCCACGCCGGCCCAAACCATGAAAGATACCCATGTACCGAAGATCAGAAGGAAATGGGTTGCGTTGCACGCATGAAGAATGATCCTCCTGATCCCTGGTGCCCTCTTGCCCTCGTCCTCTGATAAGAAAGTGTGTGATCAGCCCGTCTAGCTCCCCCTCGTGGCAACTCGCAAAGCACGCAACGAAATGAAACGTGCCGACGCCACAAATTCCTAGTGGGCGGCGCGACGGCATTTTAGTCTTCACCTTTTTTTGTGTGGATATTGCAAGAAACACACATGTTGCCGTTGCAATGCGATGGAGACCCAGTGATTTGGACGGCAGATATTCGGTGGGGGGGTTTACACTAAAGGTAGAGGAGTTGAGATGGAGTCAGTCACAAGGTTGACGGACTGACAACTGGTCTGCGTTTATACAACCCTACGACAAACCCTCAAAATCGCGGGGATGAAGAAACGTGCGGGATCCCAACAAGGTCTGTGGTTGTAAATTGATAATCGGCGCCGGTACGGACAGTAGCTCCAACTGGAATGGGCGGGGGGGGGGGGGAGGATGGGATGTTTACCGTCTCCACAACTCCCCGGCGCGCGGTAGACGACACCGGTTTAATCCGCCAACGGAATCTGATTGGTCGAGAGAGGTTCGCCCATTCAACGACGCCTCTTGTCTTGCTCTCTAACTGTGTGTCCCATCCCCCATCCAAGCTCCCAATCCCACGGCCCGCCGATTTTTAGCTATATTCCTCGACATCCCACCTCCAAGAACATCACGAAACTCCCCCCCCTGCTCTCTCTCGCCGACAAAGCCTTTTTCTTCTTCCTTTTATTAACCCCTGGTGCTTTTGAACTTGTCGTTTTACTTCTGGGTCGTTACCATCGCCAAAAGGATCTCTCTCTCTCTCTCCCAACGAATCTCGGTCGACACCGCCCATCTCACAATGCGCCTCCTCACAACCCTCGCCCTCACGGCAACATCAGCATCCGCCGCCTCCCTAACCCTCTCGATCCCCTCCTCCCAAGCCCTCCCGAACCCCTACACCCTCCCGCCGTCAACCCACGCGACGCTCTCCTCCCTCGGCGCCACCTTCTCGGCGCCCTTGTCGGTAAAAAACACCTTCGTCTTCCACAACCTCACCGACGGCGGCAGCAGCGGCTCCTACCTCGTCGACATCCACTGCGCGACGCACGCCTTCGCTCCGTTACGGCTTGATGTTGATGCAGAGGGCGGGTTGGCCGCGTGGGAGACGTACCGCGGTAACGATTGGGATAACAAGGGCGAGGCGTATGCTGCAAAGGACTTCGAGGGCGGCGGGAAGGGGTTTGAGGTGCGGGTGTTGGGGCAGAAGAATTATTTTGTGGAGAGGAGCAAGTGTGAGTTATTTAATCCCCTCCCTGTCTTTCCCTTTTCCTCTCTATGGACCTCCTATGTGGTTTTATAGGGTTGGACATGCTTGGTGTCAGACATATGGCGAGGAAGCTAAGCTCTCGGGAGCTATCGGCACCTCCACGAAGAGGACCTTGTATCTCTCTCGATACAAAAAACGATCGGAGAAGCACAGAAACGCTAACAAACAAACGTCACAGTCTCCATCCTCACTATCCTCAAGAACCCCATGATCCTCCTCGGCCTCATCAGCATGGGCATCTTCCTCGGCATGCCCTACCTGATGGATAACAGTATGTCAAATCCCCAACTATCTCCCCGCCCCCTCTCTTCAAAGCAAAGTCATTCTTAACATAAGCCGTTTTAGTGGACCCCGAAATGCGCGCCGAATTCGAAGAACGCCAAAAGAGCAACCCGATGAACTCCCTCCTCGGCGGCGGCGGCGGAGGCGGCGACGCGAACCCCATGGCTAACTTTGACATGGCGGGCTTCCTCGCTGGTACCGGTAGCAGCAGCAGCAAGAAGGAAGAGACCTCCGGTTCCGGTGCCTCGGGTGGTGGTGCTGGCGGTAAGAAGGAGAAGGGCGTGCGGAGGTAAGAGAGTTTTGTGTGTGTGACAGAGAAGTTCAAGAGGGGGGGAGAAAGAATACAAACTCACGGTTGTTTTCAAGATTGTTATTGCGGCTCCTGTGAGATGCAGGATCCAAGCTACGGCGCTTCCTAGACCTCAATTCCCTACAAACAAGTTTTTTTTCCCCAGATGAATGATCCAACAATGTCGGAAGTTTACGCTGCCACTGACAGTTTCCTCCGTATCCCATTGGGTTGGTAATCATGCCTTGTCTTTGGCAATTCAAGGGTACAGAGTCCATCTCAACACAATCCCGTCACTGTCGCCATTACAGTACGCGCCCATCTAGGTCGGGCGTGTCAGGACACATTGTGGGTGGTCGATTGGCCAACAACAAATACTTCAATGAAGTCAAAGTGCGGGTTGGCTGAGCGGGCCGCGATGTTCGGTCCCGAATAGGGAGGGGGGGCTGAGCTAAAATGTCTCTTTGCCAACATATGTTCTTGTATCTGTTTGACTATTGACAATAGTATGAAGATGGGATTCTCAATGCTAAATATGAACGTGTTCGTCGTTACACGGGCTGATGTATCATAGAACTCGCAGGAAGAGGCAAAGAGACATGTTGTTCATATGCAAAGGGGGCTCTTTTACTCATGAGAAGAACGCATATTAGACGCAGATTTATGCCCCCTGAAACTGCCCTTATCCATTCCTTCCTTTACCTATCAACCCTTCTCTCATAATCCATCCAGTAACAAGAAAACCAGCTGGCCGCAATCCAGTACCAGCCAGCCACTTAGAAGTCACCTCCAAAGTCGTCACCGCCACCGAAATCATCTCCATCTTGTCCGTCGTCTGTACCAAAGTTAGCGACTGTTCAAATATCCAACCAAGGACCCGCAGGATTGTAACTTACTGTATCCGTCAGCGTATGCCTCCTGCTGCTCGTCATTGATGTGATCCGCAATTAGCGCACCACCAAGCAGACCGGCACCGGCACCGAGCGCCAGACCGCCCGCCATACCCATGCCGCCGCCGCCGGGTTTCCGACCGCCGCCCATTCCACCCATGCCGCCCATGCCCCGACCGTAGCCCTGCTGCTGGGGATATCCGCCATAACCCTGCTGCTGAGGGTATCCCCCGTAACCCTGTTGAGGCGGGTAGCCACCATACTGCTGCTGCGGGGGATAACCACCGTAGCCCTGCTGCTGGGGCAGGTAGCCGCCGTATCCTTGCTGCTGGGGGTATCCTCCGTACTGCGGCTGCGCGTGGCTCGAGCTGCCCATGCCGCCCGTCTTGGCCTTGCCCAGCAGCTTGCCCAAGAAGCCGCCGGAGCTCTTTCCTCTCGTCTCCTGCGCGCGTGGCGGGAGCTGGTCGGGGAACGGCGACTGCGACTGCTGGTGTTGCTGCTGCTGGAGGTTGTAGCCCGGAGGCATGGGGGAGTGGCTGCCGCCGCCGCCGCCGCTGCGGGCGCGGGCTTCTTCCTCGGCCTGGAGCTGGCGGGCGAGGCGCTCGTCCTCGGACATTGTGTTGGAGCCGCCGGCGCCGGGCGGCTGCGGGGTCGAGGACTGGTTCTCGTATGGGTTGCCCTTCTGGTCGTAGGGGTTGTGCTTTTGGTCAACCGGCGGCGTCGGGTGGTCGCCGGGGCGCGGGGCGTAACCCGGAGGGGGGCCGCCTGGGTGCCCATCTTCTGCTGGTGGGGGAGGGGGAGGGAGGGCAGGCTCTGTCGGCTTATCCCATTGGGATTGTTTGGTGTGAAGGTTTACGTAGAACCTGGAGTGCGTTTGTCAGCATCGGCGAGCATAATGAAGAAGGGCAATTAGTTGTTGGGTAGGCAGAGATGTTTGGGCTTACCATTCTTTGTACTGGTCGTTCCATCGAGCGATCCAGCCGGGAGGAACCTCAGGAGCCTTGGGAGGCGGGGGTCCCGATGGGGGAGCGAAATCGTCGGCCATGTGTAGTACAGTGGAATCGGGCACAGAAGTGGTAATGTTGTTTAAATGCGATTAGAACTTCTCGGTGGTGCGAGGCCTTTCAATCGATCGATGTGGTTCGGGGAAGATTGCTTGGTATAGGTGAATGAGTTGCGAAAGAGGTGTGCGTATCCGTGTGAAAGAAGAACAGAGTTTCTTGGTTTCCACAGCTACTTCAGATAACTCAATAATCTTTGGAAGGGAAAAAGACACCAAAGTTCGAGGTTGGGATGAGACTGGATTTTGGGGGAAGGGGAGAGCGAAAGTATTGCCTCCTACCTTTTACCGCGGGGTGTCAGGTGTTGTAATGGGGAGGCGCAATAGGTCGACTGGAGCTGGGCGCGGAGGGCCGGGATTACGTCTTTCAGTTTTGGAACGGTTCCCTTCCCCCTCCTCTAGCTAAACGGAAGGTACCTACACCGCGCAACGTACGACACCCCGACGTTTCCGCTGCTCCCGCCTTCCAGAGGCATCTTGGCGGATACTTAGTGGGATAAGGAAGTAATTCACCGAGGCTTCCTGTCTTCACTCACTGAACCTAGCATCTTCTCGAACGGCACGGTGAGCATGGAGGTAACAATCGCTGCCGTCCATCGTCTTGATGACATGACGTGCCAGGGTGCCAAGCTCGGATAGAGGACAAGAGGCAAAAAGCATACGGATATCTGGACCAGTACCTACGTAAGGCAAGTCAGATCACAGCCGGGCTCTAGTTCGATTCGATCCCGCTTCTCGAAGCTGCTATTACTGCCATTATGTGCCTATCTTGCCTCTTTTCAGTCCAGAGTCCAGTCCCAAGGTGTCCTGCGGGTTCCATCTTGGCTATGCTGCAACAGCATGATGCGAGCTGCTGCGAGCTGCAAAGCACAGCCCCTCCCTCCCCGCTGATGCTTGTCCAGCGGATTACCTACGCAGTAGGTGCCCCTCACGCCGCCGCCCCTCACCTGTGGCCTCCCCGCCCTCTCGTACCTCTCTGCTAGTGGCCACTCTGCCTGCCTGTCGCTTTCCCACTGCGACCCGGGATGCCGGAGAGCCGGTGCGGAAGGTAAGGTATCTGACAAGTCACTTTACAGCTTAAAACTAGCTTTCTCATACCCCGACAGTACTCCTCCCCATCTGCAGTAAAACCGATTCCCCTCCAAAAAAGCTACCTCAGGTCGAACTGGAAACGTCTCGCACAGGCCCGTCAACCCATGGAGCTGCTTAAGGAACCGAGGAGTTTGACCCTTCGCATCAGTGTTCTCATACCCTGCGAAGGCACTCCTTTCATTTTTGGATAGCAAACAAGTAATTATTCGTATTGACGACGCACAAAAATTGTGGCTGGTGACCTTTTTTTTTGCTTCCGTGATATGAACCAACATGTGGCAAAGATGACTCCCTTTCCAGCCATGTCCAGGTGGCTTAATCCATCTTTTTCCCCCGTGTGGCGGTGCCCCCGACTATCCCATCATCAACTTCGACCCTCTAGTCGTAAGGCTATTTCATCCCCAATTACAAAGCTGAGAGGCCAACAACTACGCCGCACTCCGCCATCTGCGCCAAGACTAGCCCGTTTCCTCCAGTCCGTTCTGTTGTCAACGGAACCACTTCCTCTCGGGTGATGATGTCGACCGTTGGCATTGCGAAGACACCTGTGGCGCAGCATATCAAAGGTTCTTGGCATTATTACTTCCAGGTTCCCAGCGCCAGTTAGCAACTCACACACACACACAAATCCACAAAGGTCGGTTGCCAAGTTGTTCGCCATAACATGAGAGAGAAGTGCCATCAAAAAGAAATGTTCCATCGAAAAAGGGGCCTTACCCTTGGGCGTCTATCTCATCTAGACATATAAGCACGCTAGCGCAGGCAAAACTCCTGGTTTCTCTCCAGTATACAATTTCTCCGAGTGCTGTAACAAGCAAAATCAACAGCTACAGGTATCGTGAGTAAAACCTTCTTCATGGAAGGCCTCTCTCGTCCCGTCTTCTCTCTCCAAAGAGGTAGGCCGCCTCCATGCAGTAGGCGCCACCTCCGCTGGCCATCCGCCGCTCGCTGCCGTAGCAGATGACGACCGCATCCAGAATGCCACTGAGAATGCCTTCCATGGCACCCATGACCGAAAATCCAATAAAACTAGCTACTATGCCAACCACGTATGCGTACGCCGAGCCCCGTACTCCCATTCCGTCCGGCAGAGCGACAGAGAGCTGCTTCGCCGTCATAACCCATCCTGCAAAACCAAGTCCCGTCGCCATGATGAACCGTGTCGCATACAGAAGCATCTTTGCGAGCCGATAAGGAAGTAAAGGGGAGTGACTGGACCGACGCGTGCTGAACACATGCGGTGTCAGTGTTGTCGTAGGGCGCTGCGGGGATAAGAAATCCATCTGGCTGAAACCGCGAGCCGCCGTGTGGAGATTCTGCGAGTGAATCGCTCCGTAGGTAATGGTAAGAGGGTTCGTGAGCGCTGCGATGGGTGTCGGAATCCACATGGCAGCAATGTGCTGCAGGATATTAGCCAGCTTGCGTGGCAGCACGAGCAGCGGCACCCGAATAAGCAGCGCAATCAACGTCGACTCGCAGATGCTGCCAAAGATGGTCGTAGTCGCGTGGTTAAGCGCAGCCGTGACAATCTCCGCCGACGTCGGGGCCGGCGCCGCGTTGCGGTGGAAGTACCATTGGGACACTGTCGCTGCTGTAGTCGCCCGTTGCACCGCGTTGATGACTCCGATCGTCCACATGTACATCAACACGAACCAGATACCCAGCCACCAGCTGGACACGCTGATGATGAACCTGGCAAGTCTTCTGGAGAAGTATCCTCCCAAGAAGATCCTCGAGAACATCCACATCCAGACCCAGGTCCACGTTACTATTATCGCGAGACAACTGAAACCCAAGGCGAGTAGTGCCGTGTTTGCTGCAAGAATTCTCGTGGAGAATTCCAATATCTCAATCGCCTGGCGGATGGCGTTGCGGCCCTGCCAAGCCGTGTACACCCAGACGCAGGCTGCGATGCCAGGGACGAGAGCAGCCCATCGCATCGCTCGATCTTGGAAACTGGTCCCATGTGATCTGCCCTCGTAGCTAGAAATAAAGGGGTAAAGTGTGAATGAGAACATGATGATGGGTACTGCAACGAGAATCACCATGGCCAGCGGCCTAGCAAAGGATCGAAGCGCCGCGAGCCACACAAAGGATACCAGAATCGAAATCAGGGTATCCACGGCGAGCATGTGAAAGGATGCTTGTAATGTTGTATAGACGGTGTCACCCCATCCTTTCTTGGGCGTGCCTGTGTGTAGCCAGACAAGCACAAATGTAGACACCAGACCGGCAAGCGCAATAAGGAAGATCCAGGCGAAGAATGGGTCGTACTTGAATAGTTCTCCTTCGACCAGGGGAACAGTGGCAGGCAGAGCCTCATCGTCGGAGCTGGCCCGGCGGGCCTCGTCAAAGTCATCTTCCCGAGTAGCTTCCCTCCTCAGTGGAAATTTGCGGTCTCCGGACTTGGATTGGAACTTCTGGAAGGCGGGCGGGCTCGAGTCCGTAGCCGCCTCGTTCAGCAGCGACGCAGATGGGTCGTCGTCGTCCATGATCTGGGAATCTAGCCCGATGTCGACCATTTTAGGATTCGTATCTGATTCCCGGTCGGATGTTTCTCGCGGGACATCCTCCGACTCTTCGTCTATGACATCCCTCCCACGATTCCGTCCACTGAAGCTCCTCGTACCGTTCCAACTGCTGCGAATACCTCTCCGCAGCCCGCGATCCTGGTATCTTCGGCCCGGTATTTCGCTGCTCTGTTCCAACGAGCCGCGGCTAGCGTCTGGTTCCGTCTCGGAGCTCTCTGCCATCTTGCTCGCGGCGGCCACACGCCGAGACATGTGAAGGGCGGCCATATCCGCAGCCTCGCGATCCCTCTCGTCTTCTTCATCCTCCTCCATGTACTCGTCGAGCGTGCTGTGGAATAGCGGCGCATCCTGGGCGGCGGACATGCGGGAAGCAAAGCCCATTTGACCATAACGCGAACCGCCCGTCTGGTAGGGGTTTCCTCCGTAGCCTCTACCTAGAAAGGAGCGTCCGCCATTTCGAGGAGGGCCCCGCGATGACCAGTCGTTCGGTTGTCGTGGTGGGTTCTCGTTGCCTTGATCTTGCCCCGCAAAGTTGGATAGTCGAGACTGTGATTGCGCCAGAAACCTGGACGCATCTGGGGGCGAGTTAGTTGGTTGACCGCCGCTGCTGGGCGTCGCCTGGGGTGGTTCCGCAGCGGTGTATGAGACTTACATTCCGAGAACATGGTGCTACCGATAGCGAGGACCTTGTCCCCTCAGGAAAAGTTCCGTAATCTTGAGAAGTGGCAGGACAGGAACGCGGGACGTCGGGGCAAATAAGTGTCGGGCTGGTGAAGGTCCTATGAATGATGATGACGGACAAAGAGCAAACGGCTGGAATGTTTTGGGTGCCGGCGGCGGCGGTGGACACTAATGGTATACGCAAACAGAACCTGGAAAGAGACGGGTTGACGGCAGTTCCTGCGGAAAGCCTATTCTTGGACTGGGAGAGAATGCCACCTTTGAGATAAGGTAAGGACAATAAATCTGATCAAGCCCGGAGAGCTCGTGAGAAGGGCATCTGCACCGGGTTCTGGGAAAAGATATGAACCAAAGGTCATGCGGTACGGACGAAGAGGTGAAAGGTGCCTAGGCCGGTGAGTGACTGACTGATGGAAGTGGACCGGGCCAGTGAGGGAACTGGGAAAGTACATGGATGGCCGGGGGTCGCCTTCTGGGATGCCCGTGGAAATCCCACCACCCAAGGTACCTTATGTAACCCAATGCTTTACACGCCTGTGAATGTTAGGCAGCGCGGACGCTGATGCAGCCTAAGCAGTGGCACACAGATGGCACACGACACCCGCGACACCGCCCACACGACAATGACAAGGTACCTTTTACCTGGGAACCCTTCCTGCCGGGTACCTACCTCACTAACAACCCAGCCACTCACAACGTCGATACCCGGGGAGGCAGGCAAAGCAGGGGAACGTGGGAGCCACCCACGGGCTGCGGCCGGCACTCATCGGACTTATCGTGGTGGGCGATAAGGCGGTAAGTTGGCGAATGCATTGCAGCATTGCAGCATTGAGGGCCCGGATTGCCTGAGATGGCATGGCTGCGGGTTGGCGGGCTCCTCCCAGTTCCATGTTCGCCTTGATCTGGGAACTCCGAGAAGCGCATACTGTGGTAGGTACTCCTCCATACAGCATTAACCCAAGGGAAAACCTACGTGAGCTGGAGCACGTTTTTCAACTTGTTGCATCTTGTTTTTTCACTGCAGTTACATGGCACCTGCTCCCCTTACCCAGTGGAGTGAGTGCTTCAAGCGTCGCAGTTCTACTGCCCGCCGTCTGCCTTTCTATACCTACCTACCTTATGTGTACTGTGAGATTCCAAAGACACTTCGACTGCTGCCTCCTGCATGGCACTGACATGTCCTGGCGCGAGACCAGCAACTAAGAAGGCACTTGGCCCGAATTAACCCCAGTTCCGAGTCATTCAGTCCTGAGTAAGTCAGTCATTTCCCCAATCATCGTCAACTGACAATCACCAAAACTGGCCGCCGTTGTTTATTGTTGCTGCTGCTACCTTACGTGCTTACCTACCTAGGCATTGGTACTCTGCGAGTCTGCGCAAACAAGCGGCTCGCCTTATCACTAAGTACTTGCGTCACTGATAACACCATGCCAAATCCCTGCCGCCCTTTCCCTGGTCATCGGTCCAGTTTAAACTGGGGCTCTGTCGTCTTCTTAGGCCTAGCCTGTGGACATGGGGGACGCCATCTTAAACACTGACCAGCGTGATGCAACTCGCCATTTCTTGCAGACCAGCACATTTCCGTCTCCGATTCCACCTCTCAGAGATACTCTAGAAAGCCGTTCGCACAACCCAATCTAAAGGTCATCTTCCACTTAGATAAAGGAGAGGTCGCCATCAAAGTCATCCCCAGGTCCAAACATCATTTCTCGGGAACCACGCGGACACCGAACATTGAGAACAGACGACATCCCTCCTGCTGCCAACCGTTTCCAAACATCCCACTCAACTCGCCTGTCTCCCTCGATCGGAGCCGACGCAACCCCCCCAGTACCCAGTGCCCACCCCTTGTCAGACGTGAACTTCTGAACACGTGCTCCGATAACCGACAGCTGTTTGAAGCTTTCCAACATCAGACCAACCGACAACCAGCAACAACACCACCACTGCACTGCTCACCACACCATACACGGTCCCCTTCCAATCCACCTCTTCGAAACCATTCATCACCAGCGGAAACGGTCTCGCGGGGCAGCCGAGAGAGACAATCGAAAGAAAGGGGGGAAACAGCACAGCTATCCATCTGTCTGGTTTATCAAAGCCAAGGAAAACCACAGACCTCTACGTCGAACCTCGCTCACACGCACATACTCCCTCCTCCTCCCACCTCACGCGAAGCCACAGACCGCAAAGGGCCATGTCGTCTCCACCATGGGACTACATCGCTAAACTCGTCTGTATCGGCGACTCGGGCTGCGGCAAATCCTCCCTCACCATCCGCCTCTGCGAAGGCCGCTTCTCCCCGCACCACGACGTGACAATCGGCGTCGAGTTCGGCTCCCGCATCGTCCCCGTCGGTCCCCCAAACACCCTCCCGCCCCCTCCCCCGGCCCCGGAACCCAAGACGAACCCGGACGGCAGCGCATCCTCCACCGGCCTCCCCGAGCCCCCGCGTATTTCGGCTACCGCAGACCAAGGGCCCCAGAAGCACATGAAGCTGTCCCTCTGGGACACCGCCGGCCAGGAAACATACAAATCCGTCACGCGCTCCTACTTCCGCGGCGCCAGCGGCGCCCTCCTCGTCTTCGACCTCAGCCGCAAACAAACCTTCCAGCACGTGACCGACTGGCTCAACGACCTGCGCCAGATCGCCGAGCCCGACATCGTCGTCATCCTCGTCGGCAACAAGGCCGACCTCACCCAGGGGGAGGACGGGGACGGCAACAACAAGCGTGAGGTGACAAAGGAGGAGGCCGAGGAGTGGGCCAAGAGGAACGGCGTCTTCGAGTACGTCGAGACGAGCGCAAAGAGCGGCGAGAACGTCGAAAAGGCCTTTATGCGCGTCGCCGAGAGGATATACAATAACATCCAGGCCGGGAAATACGACCTCAATGATCGGAGGTCCGGTGTCAAGGGACCGAGTGCGGGGGGCAATAAGCAAGTGAGAATAGGGGGCGACGCGAATAAGGGCTCCGGCGGTGGCTGTTGTTAGATGTGCCGCGAAATGAAACAAAAACAAAAGCATACACGAGAAGGACAGTGATACCCAGAGGACCATCAGCGACAGAGTTTTTTCTTCTCCCTTCTTTCGCATTCAGCAACCCCTTTGTACTACTACTCTTTTTTGTAATTATAATGTATGGTCAATGGGCTGGTCAACTCACGATGAGAGAAAGAAATAGTAGGAACAAGGAACAGATTTCATATTGCATTATGTACGGAAGTTGTTATCCCGTCAACTTTGGCTTCCCCCAAAGCTCGAAAGGCCCCCACCTTGCCACCGTTTTTATCGCCCATATCCTTACAGAGAGAGAGAGAGAGTTGGGTAGCAAAGCCGAGTCATAAAAAACCCCGGCCGTTCAAGTACATGATTCCCACGGAGGAATCGTTCTGATACAATCTTTGGTGACTCTTTATCAGATTTAGTCAGAAATTCTCCAGCTGTCGAACCACTTCAAGTAGCTGTACTGCTTGTTGTTGCCCGTCATGCCGAAGCAAATGGGGCTGAAGAGAATGTAGAGACCAATAATGGTCGCGTACAGGACGCCGTACACGCCGTACTGGAAGACCTGGTTCTTGTTGCGGAGGAACCAATCAGCCAAGAAGCCGAAAGTAAGGATGGCGAAGTACAGTGCAGGGTAGTAGTGGTGAACGTAGGTGACACGGGCCATGACGACGAAGGGGAGGTAGTGAAGGAACCAGCCAGCTACGGGGTACAATCCCGCGTAGTGGATCTGGTCAATCTCCTTCGAGTTCAGGTCGTTGTACCCGCGTTGCCAGCGGATCAAGTACCAGACGACGACAAGCGCGAAGACGCCCAAGCCGGCGGTAGAGCCCCAGTAGACCAGGGGGTTGCCGAGGAGGAAGTACTTGACAATGTTGTCGTCCCAACCACACATGCGCAGACCGACGTTGAGAATGGGCCACTGCCACCATTGAGAGGCCAGGTCGTCCTGCTTATCGGGATCGGGCACAAGGGCGTTGTTGGAGGTCATCATGGCAACGTTGAGGTGGATGAAGTCGTGGAGGAAGGGAGACTTGTAAGAGCCAGGGTCGCCAGGGGGAACTATATCAGTTAGCAGGCTGAGCAAGACAGACAGGAATCATAGCTTCAACTTACGCTTCTCGTTCCAGTGTGCCTCGACGTTCCAGTGGGTGTATGAGTCTCTGGGGTTGTTGGTCTTGGTGCAAGTCACCTCAATCTGTTTGAAACCCCACTGAGGCAGGTTGACGTTGCCAGCGCGGAGGTAGCAGCCAAGAACCGGGTGCCTCAAGCGGAATGCCGTTGTCAGGGTGCGAATTCTGCTGCGATCACGGGAGGCGACATCACGAACGACCTCAACAGTCCAGTGGTCCTTGTCGTCACCAATAGTCAAGTTGCCGTAGCTGGAGACTTCCTTGTCGGACTTGGTCATGGGAGCAGCGATCTCGTGGGAGTGAAGGTTGCGGCCGGTTTGGGCGTGGATAAGACGGATCGTCTCGCCGTCGCCAATGAATCGGGGAGGGGCTTCGGCGTCGTAGTCCGCGTCCGCACGGTTGGGGTAGAAGAACCAGTCGTTGTTGGCATCCTTGTGGTGGTAGCAGGTGACCTGCTGCTGAGTAGAGCCCTCAGGGTAGGTCTGGACGTGGGAGTGCAGGAGACCACCACCATATCCCATGTTCTTGATGGTCGCGCGCGATCCGTAGGCGACTTCCAAGGGGCTGTTCTTGCCGACCTCGGTGCCCTTCAAGTTTGCCTGGAACAAGGAGCTCATTTGCGCATCACCAGGACCTGTGTGGTCGAGAATGGCAAAGTGGAGTGCGAAAGAGAGCATGTAGACCAGGAACGGGACGATGATGAGGCCAACGACGCGAGTGACAACGTGAGCGCCCAGTGTGGTGACGGGCATCTTGGTGTTGCCAAACTTGGTCCAGAGATCCTCAATGGTGTACAGGCCGACGAGGGAGGTGACGAAGAGACCGACAAGCTTAACACTGCACACACAGCCAATGCTGAGGCCAGTCATGAACAGCCAGAAGAACCACTCGGGCTCGAAAGCATCATTGCGCTGGTTGTGAAACTTGGCCCAGCACAGAACAGTCGCCACAGTTCCGAAGAGCAGCATCGAGTCGAGAAGGATGAAGCGGCTGATGGTTGTGTACGAGTTCTCGCAAAGGACCATGAGAGTAACAAGCCAGACAGCAGGACGTCTGAGGTTCAGCTCGCGGGCAGTGTAGTAGGCCATGGGAATGCAGAGAATACCGAAGAGGGCGTTGAAAGCTCTCATGAAGGTGTAGTCGACATCCTCGGGGTATTTTTCTCCAGACTTGAATTCGAAGGATCCGTTGTAGCCAGCGAGAACACCAGAGAGGCCAACAAGCATCTTGCCCAAGGGCGGGTGAACATCGAAGTAATATTCATGCTTGATGTAGTGAGATCCGAACTTTCCAAAGTGGGCCTCGTCCCAGGTAACGATGTCGCTGATGCCAATCCTCCAGAGTCGGGTGAAGATGGCGACGGCCGTGAAGATGATGGGGGCGATGATGGGCTCCCATTGATCGAGGAAGGAGCTCTGCTAAGGAAAGAGACGAGCGTCAGTACCCGAATAGATGTACAAAAGCTAGTGATGCTGTAGAGGGAGTGCGCTTACCTTCTTGACAAGCTTCTTCTTGTCGTCGATTTCAGGGGCAGCCGTTATGGGGACGGACTGGCCCTGGGGAACGGCTCGTCGTCTGACGCCATCGCCCACGTCAGTGCCGGACGCGACAATGGGCTTTTCGGTAGCCATGGCTGTTGGTGAGACCAGTCAGCAAACGGAAAGGCGGCGTAAGGAATGGGTAGAGACTGACTCTCGAAACGGGATGACCGAATGCGTTGATGAAGGCAGGCTTCAAGGGGGTGTGTGCAGGAAGAGTGGAAGTCAAGCTCCAAGAACAGGAGCTCTGAGCTCCTGGTTAGTGATCGGACGAGTCAAGACTCAAAAAACGCCCGGGGGCAGTAAAAAAGTTGGAGAATTGAAGAAGGTGAAGAGAAGCCGCGCAAAAAGAGAATCAGCGAGTTTCTCTTGAGGCACAGGTGTTCCGCAAACCAAACCAGCTCATGAAAAAGAAGGTGAGGTCAGTCAGCTGGGGGGGAAGGAAAGAGAAAGGGAAAGCTGAAAAAGGGCACCCAGAATTACCAGGGAATCATGCAATTAATATGGAGGTGGACGGGAGAGTGGCAGAGTGGTGCCCTTTGGCCAGGTGGGAATTTTTTGGTGAGGTTTGAACTAAATCGGGAGGAGCTGGGAGCTGGGAGCTGGGATTCTGGGAACCTAAGGAGAAAGCACCCTTCGACCCTTTGGAACCCCCTTGCGGCAACACGAAATAAATGCCACCTATGCACCAACAGACACGGTATCCCTCCCTTTCCACTCCTTCCAGACCACCAAGACCCCGACCACACTTTACGCGAATCTCGTCCCTGGGTCCAATGGCCGTGATCTATTGGCTCAGCTGCCCTCAAGTGGCCTTTAAGCGGATGGCCTACGCCGCATACCTTGGGCAGGCCGCGCAGGTCCTCTCGATGGAATGGCCTGAATGGCCCGGGAAGGACCCCAAATAGCCCCTCCGTTACCCCCTGCCCCCACAGGCTACCTTGCCTTACAGCTGCCTACCAGGTACGGATACCTTACCCCCTGAGGTCCTACAGATGGGATCCCCACGCGGCTCTCTCACTCTTCGACGATCATTGTCAATGTCGATGGAACCCGGAATCCCACTCCTACCTTACCCTCCATACCTTACGCCTTGCTGTATTCGATTCTAACATCGTGACATTCAAGAATACGGATGCATCATACCTATTCCTACCTCCCTTGCAAGGTATTATTAACGATCATATATATACCTTACCTTGTTTACGGATACAGAGCACCATCATCATCATCTCCAGCTTGGGATCCAAAGCAATGGAAGCAATACAGCTTGGACACACCTGCAGCCACCTTATGAGGCGTTCATTTTCTTCCACAACTGCAATGCTAGCGCCATAGCAAAGACCAGACGACAGAACACAACACAATCCATCCTTTTCTTTTCCATGGACAAACACACAGGCCACACACAACCACCAAGGATGCAAAATGTACAATGTCTTTTCTTCATGACAGCTGTGGCTCAGCTGTGGTTTCCGACTGCGCTAACCCTTCCGGGCCGCACGATAAGCCCCCGCTTTCGGGGCTAACCGGAATGCCAGTGCGCAGCTTCCATTCCGTCCCATCGGCCCAGAGAAGAGACCATCGGCCGCGGTGTGGACTCGATCTCGGCGTTTCGGGGAGTCGACGGCGGTGGAGGCCTGCGCCGTGCAGATTGCCCGCAGATGCGGTGGTTCTCCAGTAGAGCAGCTTCCGGAGAGCACAGTTGCACGGCACGAAGGAGTACACTACTCTCACCGGCCGCCTCAGCCCGAATAAGAAAGTGCTTTTACTTCTTCTGTCTTGTATGACGGAGCGCAAAGCCTTTACTGACATACCTACTTCTCACCCAAAGAAGTAAGGACCGGGAAGACCTGATTTGTTGCTGGGAGCCCGCCATCGCGGTGTTTCTTCAGAGGAAGAAAGAAAAAAGGGGTCACTGCTTCTGCCCGCCTCTCTCACGGTTCACCTCAGACACTGGGCCAGTCACCAATCTAACTCACCATCCTTGGGCGCGGCCCATCTGCCCCGCCGAGTCAAGCCTCTCACTCACTCTGCAGCATGCTGAAGCCCGCATGCGGAAACGCCAGACAGCTGCATCACATGTCTTTTTTCGTCCCTACTCTCTCATCCACTCCGTGCTGTTTCCCCCCTCCTTGGCTGGTCCCGGTCTGATCCATAACACATTGTCGGCACAGACAATCGTTGCTAACAATCGCCCCATTGCGGTGCAAATGTACATGTTCCAGAGACTCTCTGGCACCTGATTTTGGACTCACATCAAGCCTCAGGTTTGTCTTTTCGAAAGTGTACCCCCACCACGTCCACCATTCTGGATCTGAACCGTCTCCGCCGACGCCGCCGACGAGAAAGAGCGGATTGCATTAGGGGTCTCGCCCGTCTTATGTCATCGCTCCTGCATCCAATCGTCCGGTCCCGTACCACATCTAGCACCACCGACCACCACCACACTACCTTACTACAACCACCACCACCGGACACCACTACCACCATTACCACCGCTACTTCAAATATCCTTCCCGCGGTGCCCCGACCGTCCAATCCTCGCCTCCCCTCCTCTCGATCTTGTCGCCCTGGATGTAGCAGACCTCCTCTGCTGCGCGTCACTTTCTACAAATCCGGCTCGGCCCCCCGACTCACCTCTCCGCCGATACCTCCTACCTCTCAATGTCGTCTCTGGTATCCGACTTCCTCATCAATCCGGTCCTCCGACAAGCTCGCCGCTTTTCTGAGATCTCGAGAACAACCTTTGTCTCCGAACGGGATTCTTCGTCCGACCCTGTCGCCGTCCCAAGCGACGTGGATAGTCCCGCAACTCGGCATGCGACTGTTGCGCCACCCGAACCCACCCCGGCACGATCACTCGATATTGCGACACTACCGCCAACCGTCGACGACGAGCAACCTCAGTCTCCGACTCCTCTAGCTCAGAACCCCCCACCGTACACGATGGCCGCGATGCCGCCTACGACACGGGAATCTCTGCCCGCCGATGACGGTATGGGTGCGATGCGAAAGCGTTTACTCGACATTCAGTCGCAAGATATCGCAGCAGACGACAAGGCCCGGCTTATGCACGAGGCTTTGATGGAGGGATACCGCAAGTCTCGAGACGCTCCGCGCCAAGGCAATGCACCACCAGCCAGCGTGATAGCTGCAGGGGAAGCATGGGAGCAGTCAGTGCCGATTGCACCTCTCGAGTCGTTGAAGTTTTGGCAACATGCGATTGGAGAGCCCTCCTCGCCAGAAAAGTTTATTCTTACCGCTGACGATGTTCGGCCCACGTACGCGGCCGCAAAGCTCGCTACAAGAGAAGAGCCTGAGGGTGCGGTGATTCTTGGCTGCCAACACTACCGCCGCAATGTCAAGCTGCAGTGCTCGACTTGCGCCAAGTGGTATACTTGTCGTTTCTGCCATGACGCAGTCGAGGACCACACCCTGGTCAGGAAGGAAACCAAGAACATGCTCTGCATGCTCTGTGCCACGCCTCAGAAAGCATCAGAGGTTTGCGTGAACTGCGGGGAGACTGCAGCCCGTTACTACTGCAACATGTGCAAACTTTGGGATGACCATCCATCCAATCCCATTTACCATTGTAACGACTGCGGTATCTGCCGACGAGGAAGAGGCATCGGGAAAGACTTCTTCCATTGCAAGGTATTTGAATGAACTGAAGCCAGAGGCTTTTCTTGACGGTCGCTAACATGTGTCTTAGAAATGTTGCGCATGCATCTCGATATCCATTCAACAGTCACACAAGTGTATCGAGCGCTCAACGGACTGTGACTGTCCTATTTGCGGAGAGTACATGTTTACATCTCCTAAGCCAGTCGTCTTTATGGGATGCGGTCACAGCATTCACCAGAAGTGCTATGACGAGCACATGCTGAGATCATACAAATGTCCCATTTGCAACAAGAGTTTGCTCAATATGCAGAGCCAATTCCGCCAATTAGAGCTGGCTATACTTGCCCAGCCGATGCCCCCTGAATTCAGGGACACCCGCGCCACAATCTTGTGTAACGATTGTAGCGGAAAGAGTTCCGTCCCTTACCACTGGCTCGGCCTCAAGTGCGCGATTTGCACTTCTTACAACACCGTGGAAATCCAGATCAGCGGCGGAAGAGAAGAGACGCACGCGACACACGCCAGTCACGTGCCCGTCACGCCAGCAGCAGTTACGCCAGCTCTTCTTTCGCCTGCGCTTCCTACCCCCGTAACGACTCAAGCTGCTGCTCCGGCAGGAATGGACATACCGCAGATCGGCAGGCGACGACATTCATCTCATGCTGGTCCTGAGGCACGTCATCTGATGTTGGATCGCTTTGCTAGGTCAGCCTCGCCAGCAGTCACACCTGGGATGTCACTACCAAACGCAACAAATGCTGCCATCGAAGAAGAAGATGAATCAGAGAATGACATTCTTAACTTATGGGGACGGGGTCACGGTGATTCGGACAGCGATACCATGTCGACGGACATGGACGAAGAAGACTCGGAGGGCGAGGATGATGACGATGATGATGACTATGAGAACGAGATCATGCTCATCGGACATCGGTAACCTCGGCTACGATGCAATCATGATTTAGACAATGAGGTGCATCTGCAAGAGACGGATATAAGATGGCGCACTGGGTTTTTGCGATGGTCGCATGGATTGGACATATGGGTCGTCAAAGGTCATTGTAAGCATATTACTAGCTGGTTGGGTAAGGGTTAGTCGGCGTTTTTAGGATGGCAGAGTTTGTCAGCCTCGGATGGCACTGCTAGGTTCCTTTTCATAGCCCTTGGAAACTGGGCATTATTTAATGTTTCCATAATAGACAAAAACTGAAAATGAATGACAAGCAACGCAAAATGCCTGAAACGCCTACTATCCGTGAATTTCCATCCTTCTTGCCCTTGTCGTAACTTTCATAGCAGACTCTCCTATCTCAAGGCACACACCTATTGACGCCTCCGTGATGCAATTTGGGCATCGACCTCCTGGGATTCCTTTCTAAGCTCCTTCACAACGGTCTATTTGCGATAGTCTAGTTAGTAAGTGTCACGTCTGATTCGGGGCTCGATGGGTAAGGTGTATTATTCTTACGGCAAGAGCCTCTGGGTTTACGCCATTCTCAATCATGGAGATGCAGATCGACAGGGTGCGACGGTCCAGGTGGCAGTTCTTCTCTCACAATCATATTAGCATGGAGTGGGATTTTGAGAGGGTGTAGTAGGTGGGCGTCGCAACTGACGAGGATGGTAGAAATCTCATGCAAGATGTCAACAGCCTGCTGGGCCGCAGCCTGCTTCCCGCTTCGATCGTCGGCGGGCATTTTTGTATGGTATTTATTGCTGGTTGCGAGATTGTATGAGTGAGATAAAGGTCATTGAATGAGCGGACGTCGCTTTGTTCAGCGGGAGCGGGGCCAATCAACTTCAGTGAGTAACGGTAGCCTGTGAGGTGCTTGAGGTGGGTGTCTTAGTTGTACGGAGTTGAGAGTCGGCAGGGGCCGAAGTTGCCCATTAGGAAAACGCGTCTGAAGAGTGGCCCCGACGCGCCGGGCGAACTAATGGCAGGGGTTGGCTGGGCTAAAGTGGGCAACTACCGGAAATGGGGCCCATCTTTTTTTATGTGAAGCCGCGACTGACCGAACTTTTTCACGTTTCTTAGTCCGTTCAGTCTTCCGTCGCTGTCTCACTTTTGCTTTATCGTCATGACCTCGAATTTGCTGCAACAGTCAGCTCATGTTTTCTGACGGCTAAAGTTGCGCATTTTCTGTGTTCCCATACAACTAGCTAGGCACCTTCCACGCATGACCACGAATCGTTCATAGCCCGCCAGGCTTTTCTATCTTTCTTCGCATGATGAAGCACACCCTACCGCTCTCTCACGATATGCCCAGTTTCCCACGAATACACTACTTAGACTTACGGGAAACGAACGGGTCTAATGGCTGACGCACGGGAAGAGACCAGCCGCTTATATGGCCCCCCAAAAATCACTATTATTCCTCATGAAGGGATTGAAGATGGACCACCTCAACTGCATATGAGCCGGGTGCCAGGCCAAGGTGAGCGAGTGCATCGGCCGGTTTTGGCCTCTCGCGTTTGCTGACCTTACAATAGCTCAAGCTCTTCGGATTATCCAGGCTCCTGAGACCCTCTATCCTGCCTCTCTCTCTACGGAACTGGCACCTTCATCAACAATTTGGGATTCACAGCGAGTGCAGAGACGATGGCTGTTCAACGCTCACCCAGAGGCTTTCGCGGGCAGCTCCGAAGCCGCCAGCTTTCTGTACGAAGGACTCGCTCAGCTCATGCGCGCCGATGCCGCGCCGACGACCCAGCCGCTTATGACGATCAGTCAGATGGCAGATGTCACCAACCACACACGGGTTGTGCCCGTCCCCGTACTGGCCACGGCTGCCGGCGAGTCGGGTGAGCTCCTCCGTCTGTCCAAGATTGATGAGACAAACTGGCAGTGGGGTGAGAACGAGAGCCCAACGCTTCGCATGTTGAGCATCGACCAGCATGACAAGGAAGAATCTGTCTTGTGGTCGAGCGATGGAGCCCCGATTCTGCAGATCAAGCCTGCGCTGAGCTTGGTCCGGTTCGAGCCCACGAGATGGCTGCTGGTGCAGAAACGGACTTCGACTACCATCCTCCAGCCGGATTACCACAAGATCCCTGTTTCAGAACGCCCATCTGGGATTGAACAGGCTATCGAACGCCCATCTCGAATTAACCCGAGACCCGTCCTCACCATCTCCTCGGAGCAGACTGGGGGTTTTGCGCATTCTGATGTGTCTTTCAGCTATGGCTCGCAGAAAAAGCCGCCTCAGCTGGCCATTATAGATGAGTGCGGCTACTACAGTGTCTGGGATGTCAAGGGTCGAGGCATGGTGGGTTCCAGCGGCTTGCGTCCAAAGCTCCGTCATTGCGGCCACATTCACTTGGGTGTCACGGAGCAGCTCCCCGACGAGGACTCGCCGGCTTTCCGCGCAGAGCCTCATGGCGTCATGTGGATCGGCGCGGCCGGCCCAGGTGTTGATCTTTGGGACGTGCCCGAAGGGCAAGATGTCGATGCAGGAAACGACCTAGCCGCCCTGACGTCGAGGTCCAAAAAACTCGTCATCTGGAACCGCGCAAAATTCGAGGTCGTTGATATCAAAGACTCGACGTTCCGAAAGAGCTTGGTCATACTCAAGACGGACGAGCCAGACTACATCCTCGACGTGAAGCCAAACCCTTTGAACAGAAGCCAGATCTTCATCCTCACGAGCTCGGGGTTCTTTTGGATCGAGACGTCGTCTTCAGGGACAACAGCCAACAAGGCAGGCGGACTCTCCATTCTACAATCCTTTGCACATCTCAGGGGCTCGGATGCCGACGCTCTCAGGCTCACCGTGCATCATGGCGGTTCGGAGGCAGGAAATGAGAAGTGCACGGTTTTTATCTACTCTGACAGATCACCAGAGGTAGATGTCTACTGGTTCTACGCGCCTGAAGACACGGGATTGCCACAGTTTGAGCACCATATCATGAAGCTCACGGGCGACGCGACGAAGCTTCAGACTCTGTGTCCGGTGCCAGCTTTCCTGAGAAACCCCTCTCCTGCATCAGCCAAGGGCCCAGGCTTGGAGTACCTCAACCATGAGATCAGATTTCAGCAGTTGTTCGTTCTTGGCAGGGACCTCAGCTTGAGCCAGAGCCTCTTTGCAATCTCAGCCGGCCCTGACCTCGATGTGGTGGCCCCCGATAGCAGTCGCGAGTGGTCAAGGGATGGACGCAGACAGGCGCACAACAAGAGGCGAAGACAGTTCCTGCAGCATTTTGAAGGCACTTTTGTCGTTCCCGATGGCCTGGGTGATATGGATGAGCTGGTGCAGCGCCGCGCCAATCGATATCAGGAGCTCATGGAGAGTGAGCAGGCAGGAGAGGAAGCACAACTTAAACAGCGGTGGCCTAGGGGTCTGAACCTGGACCAGTTCGTATCTCGCGTCAATGTTTCGATCGAGTCGGTCATCATGGCGTCAGAGCAAGCTACCATTGAGGGGCCTCTGTCTGTGTTCGAGGCCATACGGGAAGCAGCCGTCAACTGTCTCGAAACTGAGGGCGGGTACATCCCGCTGCATACTTTGTAAATTTGGATCTTCCCACGCCCACGTCTTTCATATACTGATAGGTTCTCAGGCACGAGTACGAAAATACCTTTGAGGCGCCCCCTGTATCCCACGAGGCAGTAGCAGCGTGGGACTCTCGCTTCCAGGAGATGATGAACGCGCAGACCGATCGCGTCATTGCTCAACCTCTCACAACGCAATTTCTACACGGCTTGGAAACATTGTCGCCCCTCGCAGACATTCGTGACCAGCTCGAGGAGATGTGGAGTGCAGTGGGCCTCCCGCCTAGAGCACAGCAATCACGTAACGTTGTGCTGGCAGAGACGGCCGAAGCCATCGCCAGGTCCCTCTTCGGTGTGGCCGTACTCGACGCGAACCTCCCAAGTAGAGAAGACGAGTCCCCTACCTGGGTTCCCGAGCCTCCACCACTGCCAGTCCGGCAGCCGAGTCAACGGTCAAGCCAGCGCTTCTCGTCATCGCCCGCAAAACGTAGCCAACTATCGTCAAGCCAGCGACTCTCGCTCTCCCCGACCAAATTAAGCCAGCCCCTCAGCCAGAGAATCTCTCTATCGCCAACCAAACGCGGCCAAGCCCTCGGCCACCGCCTATCGTTCTCGCCTTCCAAAGGTGCCCGCTCCCAACAACGCTTCGATATACCCCCTTCATCGTTCCCCTTTCCCTCCTCAGGGCCCCTATTCTCCCCGTCCTCCTCCGCCGCCCCCTCCTCGAGCTTCCCAGACGCCGCACCACTAACACCAACAACACCTGCACCCACCACAATCGCAACCACGGCCCTCCAGCGCCTAAGCATGCTCGCCGAAGACATCAACACCGCGGAAGCCCCCGCCCGCCAACACAAAGTCCTCGCCTACTGGCCCACCGCCCGCGGCGTCAGCACGGAAGGCTACGTCTCCTCCGTCCTCGCCTCCTCCACAAAACACATGGACGTCCTCAACGAGCGCCGCCACCGCGCCGAATCCCGTCGCCGCAAGCGCAGGTCACAATTTCTCGGCGCGTCGTCGCAGCACGGGTGGGGTACGAGCGAGATGGACGACGTTTTCGAGTCATCTGGGCCCGGGACCGGGCCGGCGACGAAGACGAAGACGAAGACGGCGACGAACACCGGGTCGGAGTTTGCGCCTGCGCTACCGCCGGCAACGCAGCCTCTTCCCAAGCTTGCGCCGCCCATCATCGGCTCGAGCCAGCTTCCGCCCGTGCCGTCTTCGCAGGCTATCTTCTCGTCGCAGATGCCGCTCGTCATGTCACAGCCCATGGCTGGGAGGCACGGTATGCGGTCGCCGGGGAAGAAGAAGAAGAGAAAGTCTGGGTTTTAAGGGGGCCTGGGACATGGGGGGAAAAAAGGTCCGCCTCGGATCATTGTGTTGCAGGTTGTTACTCATGTTTTTTCATAAATACTACGGTCATGTCGGAGATACATCATAATACCCCC